CGTGATTAGGGCGTTGGCGATACGAATAGCATGTACTCAAAGATCGGGCTTAGCCTCGCCTCTGAATCGGAACCTCGCCGTATGATATAAAGATATAAAGAGTTTCTGAGGTCATATTCAAAATAGACCAAAATGTTTCCCTACCACACACGTAGCCGGTGTTGCCGGAAACGTAGCCCGCGTGGCACGTGCAAGTGACGCCGGTGATCCGGCGCGTGTCGGCGATGCACGACGCATGCACCGAGCACGGGTTCGGGTTGCAAGGGGACGATGGGTCGTACATCGTCTGCAGGTCATCGTCGTTGCGGGCCCCCAGCAGCTGCGCCGTCTGGCACGTCTCCAAGTCGTAGAACTCATTGGACGCGGTCTGCTTCGGAACGCACTTTTGGCGATTGCCCATCGGGTGGGCGAAGCCCCGGTTGCACTTGCACTCGTAGTCGCCGACGGTGTTCACGCATACACCGTTCTCGCAGTTGACCAGCTTTTTGTAGTAGGAGATGAGCTCGATCTTGAAGTCGGACATCAGCAGGCACTCGTCCACATCTAACGACTCATCGTTCAATCTGACATAGTTGTTGGCTGCTTGCTTATTCGTACCTGTGCAGCGCTCGCCGGCCATCGGGCATCCGGCGTATCCTCTCATGCACCACACCTGTTTGCTGCTACCTATGGCTAACTGGTAGCGTCCCCTGATCGACGCAAGCATCGTGCATCGCTTCCAAGCGGTCGGGAATGAAACCATGTTCGTCTGAGCCTGCGCTTCGGTGATGCATACCGTATTCTCCGGCATGGCGTAGCGTCGACAGTGAAAACCGTAATACTTGCCCTGCTCGTTGCCTCGATGCAGGCATTCGCAGATCCTATTGCAGTTATCGTCCAGAATCGCATTCTGCAAATTGCACTAGTTTATTTACCAATGCATTGTATCTACTTACAAAACCAAATGCATCACAGGCTAAACTGAAATGTCATGTTAAATATTTCATGCAATCATAAGTGTTAGACGAAAGGTGAATGAAAAAGCGAATCAAATATGATGCTACCTTTGCAACATCTAGTGATCCTGATTCTTGGTCCATTATTCAGGGCAATGATTAAAAATAATCATGCAGATGCTTTTACTCATAAACGTGTTTCTATCGCCGGACACTAACATTTTAATACCTCTGTCGATGAATTTGTTGAGCAATCGACCTAATGTCTCCTAGCGAGGCCTCGTAGGTTAGGGATCGCTGAATTACCATCAGTCACGCAAGTTAAACCTGAGACAAGGCCAAAAATGATCTTCGGCAAGTGGCTCAGGGGCGAAGTTCCAGACCCATGTCATTCTCAGCCGAAATTCAGACTCTTGACCAAAATCCAGAAAGTTGATGACTCTCGCTGATGCCATTCAAAATGACTAATTAACTGGCCTACAAACTTAATTTATTTACAAACAGCAGCAATGGACCATCATTGGACCTGAGAGACAATGAACTGGGTTCCAAAGGAGCGTAAACGGCCCGTTGGACGACCTCCAGATCGATGGCAGGATGAGCTTAAGAAATTCATTTGATCAACTTCAATAAAAACCATGAAAAGCAGAAGTCTCCAAGTCTTCGAGAGTCCTTCATCCCGCCCTGGATCGAAGAAGGCTGATTATCATGATGACGATAACAAACATCATCCAATTCTCTGCATGTCTGATGGCAACCCGCATTGCATAAGCTAATAAACTTTGATTGAATTATATTTTCGTTTTTCTCGCTAGTATACAACCGAAGTTCAGTGAACTATATAATTTTAATTTGATTTAACATCGAAAGGCAAAATTGAGAATGCAGGTTTTTTGGCTTAGCCCTAAAACTCATAATTAATAACAAAACTGGAAAGTAATGAAGTCTAATTAAACAAATGATTGAACAAGATCTGAAGAAAGTAAAAAAAAAACGTAGACCTCAGCTCCTTGAGTAAAATGACAATGGAAAGCATATTAAGTTTAAAGTAAAGAGATTATGTTAGAAAAACTTTATTATAGTTAAATCTTTCAGATTGTCAAATCGGTACCTTTGTTTCCACCAGTTGCCGCTTGCCATTGATCAAAACATTTTTTGCACAGCTGCAAGCTTCATGCGAACGGATGCATCTGCCTCCACCCAATTTTGTGGTGAACTCCAGCATGTTGCTCCTGCAGTAGCAACCGATACCTAACGCAGCTTTGAGGGTCAACTCTTTATGAGGAGCTCGACAACCTTCGTAGGGAATTGGTTGTCTCTTGTACTCAGCCTTCTTTTCAAACGAGGAGCTGCAACTCAAGTAATCATTCGTGTCATTATTCGAATCTGAAACGACGCAGAGGTTCATCGAAAGCAAG